TCCCTTTGCTTTCTCCTGCACAGATGCTGGTATTAGGCAGGTCTTTTTCCTGTCAGAGGTTTGCCCCAATCTGCTTGTTGTTTGAGGATTTGTGGGGATAGTCACCTAGTTTTGCTGTGCGTGTTGTTCATAGGTTTTGCCCTCCTAGCTGTGCTTTTATAGAGGGATTTGTAGAAAATGAAAAATTATGCCACTGATACCACCTTCTTATCAGAATCCAACCTTAATATCCTTTTAATAATGCCCTTTTCTGCTTAAATTAACTGATACAGATGGTTGTTAATTAAGGTAATGGTAGAAGAAAAGAATTTGTTGCCTGTTTTGAGGCCTATAAATAGCTGAATGGATTTGTGCAGCACTTTGGTGAAAGCGAAGGCTGTTAACGATGGGTTGGGGCCTGGCTAAGGTCCCCAACTGTTGGATCAGGAGTCACTGCTCTATTTCCCTGAAAGCTTGGACAGTGACAAACTATGATTGTGCCATGGCAGATCCTCGTGGTAGGTAGTGGAAGCCAATGCAGATTCCTGAGCAGGAAAGCGTGTTAGGAAGATTAACCTCCTGATCTGTGCAAGATGGGCTAGACTTGTGTGATCAGTTAGGAAACTAACACAGTGATCCAGAATGGAGGTACAAGTACCAAAACTAGAGAAGTAGGAATATAAAACGGGAGACTCAAGACAATGCAAGAAATTCAAACAGTACTAGATCATTGAATGAGGCAGAGGAGTCATCAGTGTTTGAGGTTTCAAGGCTGGGTGTTTAGAAAGTAAGACAAGTAAAAGAATATTAATGTAATCTTCCACATGAATGATCTAGAGTGTCCCTATCCTAGGACCTTGTTCCTTAAACAGTTTTAATAATTTATTTCTTAGGCAACACTTAACTGGCCTGTTGGGAAGAAAAAACAGTGCTTAGGCTGTTACGGGATGAGTGGATAGCCCCCGCTTGGGTTCTCACAACTGCAGGAATGTGAGAGACACAGTAAAGGCACAGAACCACAGCCCTCTACCTAGTTACTTTCCATCTGTCTCTAACACATCCCCAATAAGCTCACCTGGAGGCAGCACTGCTCAGTCAGCACCTTCGCCATGCAGGTGAAGTGCAACATCTGCCTTCAGAACCTTCCAGGCCTAAGTCATTTCTGTGACCATGTGAAACTTAAAAGAGGCTTTCATGGAATACTTTGGGAACTTTAGAAGACACACAGGTGAAATCGCCTCTCCTTCCCTCTCATTTTCAAAGCAGTTATCAAATCTGCTACCTGCAAAACTTGTATCTAAAGCAAACGGATGCTTCCATTTAACACTAAAACCTGCCCTTCATTCAAGAGCTTTATCTTGAAATGACTACTCTCAAGCTCGTCAAAAGACCAATTAAGATTCTGATTTCATCTAATATTAACTATCCTTCAAGAAAATAAACTGTATGTCTACAGCAAGTCAGATCACCAAAAAGCTACACAGCTAGAATTCATTACTTTAGTCCCCTGTAGAAATGCCACCATCCATTTACAATTTTTGCCTTTTACCGATTCGATAATGATTGAGGATGTTTTCACTGTTGTTCAGTGACAATTGTAGAAACTTCTGAGTTTCAAGATTTTCTTTCCTTTGCAACTGTTATGCTCTCTTGAATCAGGTACAACTGAAACACACTGTCTCCTTTTTTATCTTGGTGCTAGAAATCTCAGATCTCAATTTACTCTTTGGTTTAGATCTTCAGCGTTTAACTGCCTCCCTCCCCTCCCCTCCGTGGCTCTTGGTCTTATTTCAAGTTACAGTGTACTAGTCATTTATAAACTATCTCAAATCCTACCTAGGAAGTTGGCATAAACTCTATCCTTCTCTATTTTGTGTTATTTTACCACTATTATTGTTACAACCACTCTTAAGTAACAGCAGTCCCCCTCAAAGTATAACCTCTGAAAGCCAATTAAGAGAATTGTAAAAAGCAACTGTGTTACTTTTTATACTTGGCCAAAAGATGGTTTGGACCAGGAGGAAGCCTAGTAAAATTAGGTGGTGAGGGGTAATATAGGTCTAAAGCAAAAACAGTAATAAACTGAGCTAGGTATTTTCAAGGGCTTTTTAGAAGGTACCAAGGCGAGGCTAACGGTTACACTAACTAGGTAAGCCTACAGCCCAGAGTTCTACTTTTGTTTGCTCTGGCACATTTATCACTCCTATTACAACCATTACAACCAAACTCTAGAACCTTATCCTGAGAAACTGTCATATGGTGAAGTGAAAACAGGATGAACACTGGTGTCAGGCCTAGCTTCAACATCCAACTCCACTGGCTGTGACACCTTAAGCAAATTACTGAATCTGAGACAGTTTATTTTGTAAAATGGGTTATTCATACTTACTTCACCAGGTTGCTGATGACATAACACAGAGAACCTAGAACACTGCCACGGCACCTAACAGGCTCACAAGAAATACATGGTCTTTCCCCTTCACACACTGCCCTTAACTTTAACCCCCCGTTTCTCCTCTTCCAAACCATCTAGAATTGTTTTTCTCAAACTAGAGGCTCCCACCACTCTTAAGAGCCTATGACTCCCCACTGCCTACTGGGATTTCTGGTTTCTCACATCTGCTAAACTCGTTTCTAACTTGCTTCCGTAGTCCCTTCTCTCTGCCCTAGACAACCAATCTACACACCTAAGAACCAGTTCACGTCCCTCCTCCCCAAAAAGCCAACCCAACTACTCCCACCAACTGAACGTGCTCTTCTGTTAATACAGCACTTCCAATCTAGATCACAGCTATTTGGCTCTTGTATATGCTTGCTGTTGTGTGTCATCAAGTCAATTCCAACTCATAGCAACCCTACAGAACAGAGTAGAACTTCCCCATAGGGTTTTCAAGGAGTAGCTGGGGGATTCGAACGGCTGACCTTTTGGTTAGCAGCCTAAGCTCTTAACTAATTTGCCACCAGGGCTCTAAAAGCTTTGCATTGCCCGGTAACCCTGGTGGTACAGTGGTTAAGAGCTATGGCTGCTAACAAAAAGGTCGACTGTTCGAATCCACCAGCTGCTCCTTGGAAACTCTATGGAGCAGTTCAACTCTGCCCTATGGGGTCACAATGAACCAGAACTGATTTGATGGCCATGGGTTTTTTGTATGTGCTTAGCTGGTATTGATTACTTTTACTTTCTAAACTAGATCACATAAATTTAAAGGCAGAGGCTATGTCTTATTTTCCTATACCAATGTCAAAGGCAGATAGATTCCTAGGCCCCACTCTAGACATACTATCAGAAATAAATTGCAGGGGGTGGGGGGGAGGGGGTGGAGCAAGGAATAAGCCAGCATATAAGAAAACCTCTACATAGGATTCTTCCAGCAGAGATAATCTTACCAACAAATATTTATTGTCTGAAAAGGTCTTAATACAGGATTAATTTTTATTGCCAAGACTATAAAGCCAAAGTTGTGGCTTATGGTTCACGAAAAAACTAGGGAATGCTTTAGAGAAGAGCCACTGTGAAAACGAGGCTTTGTCTTCCCTCTAGTGAAGCTGCCTTGGTGCTCCGGGTCACCAGCTGACTTCAGCTGAAGCTGGCCTTTGGCTCAGCTGGGGGTTGACTAGGGCCAGGGCATCTCTCATTTTGACACCAAGATGATTCTACTTTACTGTTCCAGAGATAATTTTTTTTTTTTAATACCATTTTTTACCAAAGATAATTTATGAAGACGCTTTCCCAGTTTTCCGCAGGCTGAGGAAGTTATTTCCATTCTACCCGCCCCCCCCCCATATTTAGTTTGCTATTTTATACTATTTACAGAAATAATCCATCTTCAACTCCATAAATAAATGAAAACCAAACCACACAGCTGGAAATCAAGTTTTGTTTTTATATGAACAGAAGTAGACCATCTAGAAATATTTCAGTTTATTTAAATTGTTAAGTAGAATATGAAACCGAATTTGTAGCTAGTACCAGAGAATGGACTTAACTGTTTGGTGTTTAATGATAACAGCTTCTACACAGGATCCCAAGAGACTTACAGAAAAAGGGCAAAGCCCTAATATTAAGCAAATAAAACTCATGTTTCAAACAGATCATACAAAAATTGATTTATACTCCATTTCCCTTTTTTGATATTTAGAAAGTGCAGATTTAACAAAAGGTAGCCATATCCTTTCTATATACAATGCCAATTATAGTTATGCAAACAACAAAACTGTCAGTCTGTTACCCAAAAATCCCAGTGTTTAGCTCTCAAACCTTAAGTCACTAAATTTAAGAAGGATTAAAGAGAGTTAAAAATAAAAAAGCTACTACCACATTCCAGATAAAGGGAAGAAACAAATACATTAAAAGTTAATCTAACAACAGTAGGTTTAACCTAAAACTTCTTGAGAAGCTTAACATCATTTCAGTATTTTTAGTGGAAAATTAGGCATTATTTGGCAATGTTGCTTTACTAGTAGTAAACAATGATAAAGTCAAGTGAGGAAAACACCTAAAAACAATCACCAGTGAGGCATATAAAATTGTTTTTAGGGCACTATCGGAAAAATTCATGGATTTTCATAGCAGATATGTCCCTATGTTGTTTATGTGAGCCAAGAGGGCATTAAAATGCTCTCCATGACACAAAAAGACTTCTCAATGGAAACTGCTGTCCTAAACTCAGCCTCTGCTAGAAATGAATCATGCTATTCACAATTATTTCAAGAAAGGTGTCATGTTAGGATGCTAGCAATGTAGCAAACTTAGTTTATCCTATCCTAACGACAAGCAATGAAGCAAAACTAGAAAAATGAAAGGAGAAAAGGGCAGGGTTAGAGAAAAGCCTTTTGCTGTCCTTTGTCCAGATCCATGGTAATACAACTTTCCAAAACGATGTCAAGATAGGTCTTAAAATTATTAATATTCTAAAGTATTTCTAAATCTTAAGGTAAAGACAACTTAACACTGAAAATGTGTTCTTCAGAGGCCAAATCGTAATACATTTGGCAAACATGTTAATAAATTTTACTCCTCCTTCCCTGGCTTTTTTTTTTTTTCTTCTTTGAACAACCTTTTACTGGGCTACCAAACTGCTAGAGGAGTTGCCAAAATGGAGACTACTCAGATTTCAGACGGAGAGATCCCGTCTAGGAAAAGCGAACAGGCTACACACCTAGTTAGAAAGACAAACCACAACACCCTCCAAACACTAGTGCATGCAATTAACTCTTCCATTTCATAAACTCAATGGACAGACAGGAGGGGAACAGAAAGGGAGGAAGAAGAACAACACAGCAGGAAAACAGCAAATGAAGAAATCTGGGGCCAAGTCTTAGGGGAGAGAACAAATGAGGGAAAGACACTAAATAACTGACAGCTGATAGCAGGCAGTTAGAACTTAACTTGGTTTACTTAGCAAGTTAAATCAGTGCTTTGTGTTATATCTGACAAACCTACCAGTTTGCCCCTTTCATTTTTAAATAACTCAGACCATGGGTTGGGGAGAGAGAAGCAAAAAAGTAGCATGCAGGAAGAAGAGAAAGAAAAAAGTGGCCAAGGAAAAGAAATGGTGGGCAGGAATAATTTTAAATATCAAGGCCACTTAAAATGAGACTCAGCAAACCAAAGCTATCATTTCTGCATTATCCTTTATCCTCAATGAACTACTCTGAAAATTACAGCCAAGCAAACCACAAACATTTTAATGGTTTATGTTTGGATATGTCATGCTTCCACCAAAACAAAGAAAGAAAAACCAAAGAAGTTCCTTTCCACATAAGGCACAGGACAAAATTAATCCCATTTACATATTCAAGGCGAAATGAGTGTCTTCCTGGCGTTTGTTTTTTTTTTTGTTATCGCATGTCTATAGATTAAAGGGAATCAAGCACATTATCCAAGACAGAAAATTCCACTGTTGTACAAAATAAAATTGTTAATTCTAACTTTTATTCTTATACAATTTGCAGAATAGAGTTGAAATGATTGCTATAGGTTTAATGTTGATAAGAAGAACCAGACTATAATACAACTGAAATGCAGTGGTGAGCTGAGGAAGTACATTTAAAAATGAAGTCACAGACATGATTTTTCTACACATCTTTTTTTGTAGTTGTTTGAAGAAAATTATAAAGTCAGCAAGCAGTCACAGATGAAAGAACAAATAAAACAGGTGGACTGGATAGTTAAGATGAGGAACAAAAATATCTGTTTAGGGTTAAAAATGGACAGAGTGGTTTATTTTTGCAGCAAGAGAAAACGGGGTGGTGGATGGCAATTGATGGAACAGGAGAACACTCAGCAACATTTGCTCTTCCAGCCTGTCACGCCTCCTCCACTGCTGATATCTACATTTTCACTGTTGGGCTCTTTTACAGGGGTCTGGAACAAACACACAAGGAAAGTACCCGTAAAAAAAATGTCACCACGGATAAATCAAGATTCAACAGAAGTATTCTCATAAATGTCAATTTATGCAACAAAATGCAATTATGGTCACATGAGATAAATTTTCTTTTCCCCCCATACAAAATAAAGATTTGGAACCTTCCTTTTTGGTCTTCATTTTGCCTGTTTTTTCTAAGCTATGAAATGTCTGGAGGCCTTCTGGCATCCCTTTATAGTTTTTTGACATCTTCCCTGCCCTAACTCTTTTGAATAGAGGTTATCTCTTAGCCCTGACCTCTGAGTACTTTTAGTACTTGAAAAGCATTATCAAGCATATTAGTCAATGTTGAGTCATGTTTAACCTTACATTAGTGAAACAAAGCAGGCCTTTTTGGTTTAGTAAGTTGCCATTTGTGTTACTGTACCATAGCTTAAGAAAGGCAATCCCAATTATGACATACTAACATTAACGGGCAGAGGAGAGGAAGGAGGGTGGAGGAAGGCAGAATGCAAGCTGTATAACTGATGTTTCCCAACATTCTAAACATTACTTTTAAAATCAGAATACACTATTTTAAATGGGCAGCCTCACAGAGTATATATAAAAGCAGTATTTTTTTTAGTGGTAACTTATACAGTAAAGTGCACAAACTGTAAGTATGCATCTTGGTGGCTTTTTAGTATATGCTGTGAAACTACTTGATCAAGATATAGAACATTCTCAACACCCCCAGAAGGCTACCTCACGCCTCTTTCCAGTCAAGACTACTCTCTCAAAGATAACTGATGTTTTAATTTCTATTACCATAAATTATGTTTTTTCCCGGTTCCTGACTTTCATATACATGGAACCATATTTAATGTATTATTTTGTGTCTAGCTTCCTTTACTCAATATCAGTCTGTGAGATTTATCCATTCTACTGTATATAACAGTAGTTCATCATAAATGGAATTTAAAAATCTAGGACATAACTGGGAATGTATTCTCTCAGGGACACATTATAAAGTTAAGGTCTTGAGTAGCCCAGAGAGAAAAAAATAAAAATATTTGAAAAACTCAGGTAGCCCAAGAGAAGCCTACTTAACTCATGCTGTTGTTGTTCATTGCCATCAAGTCAATTCCAACTCATGATGACCCCACGTGTACAGAGTAGAACTGCTCCATAACGTTTTCACAGCTGTGACCTTTCCAATACAGATTGTCAGGCCGGTCTTCCAAGGCGTCTCTGGGTGGGTTTGAAATTTCTGCTATTGCTCAACCATTTGAGCTACCCAGGGCCTCCGCTTAACTCATAATGAGGTGAACTTTCTACTTGCCCTTTGAGCTCACTACTTACTCTCAAGGCCTTCTAGGATTCTTCCCCTCCTTGTATGTTAAAGCTGCAAGTTATGCATTAAAAGGCCTTTGTGGGCTTTCTGGAACTCACTTTGCTACCCAATACAGATGTGTGAGAAAAAATGTACAGAAGAAGAGAAAGAGCTATCTCAGCACCTAGCCCACAAGAAAAGAATATGGTTACATAAGAATACTCTTTCCCTGGGAACTTCCAGATGTGGGTCAGCTGTTAAATATACAGGGGTGCTTGTAGGTAGGGCGGTGCCTATATTTACTCATTCAACACCTCACTCACAGGCTCTCTTTTTACAATTTAACTTAGGTCCTTCAAACAGACTCTCTAAAAAAGGAAAGTATTTCTTGCAGAGCAAAATATTTTAGAGTCAAGGTATTCATCAAGTTTATGAAATCGAACTGGCTCCTAGCCAGTAACAAGAAAAAGGCCACTGAAAAAGAAATGCTAAAGTGATTCTTACACATGCAAAAACATGCCCAACCTCACTCAGAAGAGAACTGCAAATTAAATCTACATTTTCTACATTGTTGTACTGGCAAAGACATGAAAGTCTTGTCATCCACTGTGTTGGCCACGGTGTAAAAGTAAACAGATGCTCTCACGCACTGTGGTGGGAGTACAGACTGGTATAACCACCATGACAGAATCTGACACATCTATCAAAATTTCACAAGTATAATATATATGCTCTTTGAGCACTTTGGGGAATCTGTCCTTCAAATATGCTTACACATGTGTAAAATGATTTAAACGTAAAATTATTCACTACAACACAGTTTATAAGACTATAAGATTGGAAATCGCCTGTTATGGTTTGAATTGTGTCCCCCAAAAATGTGTTGTAAATATCCTAATCTCTATGCCTGTGGCTATAATCCCATTTGGGAATGGGTTGTCTTTGTTATGTTAATGAGGCAGGACTGGTGTAGAGTGTGCTTTGAGTCCATTTCTTTTGAAATATAAAAGATACTAAAACAAGCTAGCCAGCAACAGAGACCGGGGAAGAGAGATGCCAAGCCACATGAAGACTGCCCAGGGGCAGAAGCTCAGAAGAGACAAAGACCTTCCTCCAGAGACGACAGAAGGAGAAAGGCTTCCCCTAGAGCCGGCACCCTGAATTCTGACTTCTAGCCTCCTAAACTTATGTGAAAATATTTGTTTGTTAAAGCCATCCACTTGTGGTATTTCTGTTATAGCAGCACTAGACAACTAAGACATCACCTAAATGTCCCTCATTAGGAGGCTTGTTCAATTATGATATATCCATTCTAAGGAATAGTAATTATTTAAAAGGTAGAATTACTCTATATTAAGTGAAAAAAAGCAATATGCCAAACAGTATGCAGTATTTTACCATATCTGTAAAAACGGGGGGTAGGTGGGAATAAAAATATATGTTCCTATTTACTCACACGGCTACCTATGGGGAAGGGATGAGGACTTGGCAACGGAGGGCATTAGGGTAATAAATGGAAGACTTATCTGTACTTTTTATTTTGAATGTTTGAACCATGTGAATGAATTACTCATTCAAATAATTAAGTTAAATGTCAGAAATTGCTTTCATTCTAAAGTTAATTTTTCTTATAATCAACTCAGTGAGAAAGCAAGGCACAAGAGGATGCTAGTCAGAAATCACTACCTGTATTTCACATCTCCTAACCTAAGGCAGGAGCCCTGGTGGTGCAGTGGTTAAGAGCTCGGCTGCTAACCAAAAGGCTGGCAGTTCAAATTTACCAGCAGCTCCTTGGAAACCTCACAGGGTAGTTTTATTCTGTCCTATAGGGTCACTATGAGTCAGAACTGACTCGATGGCAACAAGTTTGGTTTAAAGTAAGGCAAAGGAGCCCTGGTGATGCAGCAGTGGTTAAGCACTTGGCTACTAACCAAAAGGTCGGTGGTCTAAACCCACCAGCTGCTCCTCAGGAGAAAGTTGTGACAGTCTGTCACAGCCTTCGAAACCTAGTTATAGACATCCTTCATATTTATTTAACTGGTCTCAGCCTCTCTCATTCTCTGCAATTAAATTCAATTTTTCATCTGAATGGATTCTCATGGAAAGCTTTATCTACTGAAGCAGTATTTTCCAAAACATGATATACAGGATGCTGACACACACAACTTTAGTTTTACAGTCACTTTGAACAGCAGTAACTGATGAATTTGCAGTTTTGAACAATCAACTGTAGTTAACAGATATCTACACCTCACTCTAAAATTAAGTTGCTTGGTTTTAATGATTTTAGTCCAGGATTTAATTTATGTCAGTATAAATATTAAACTCAATTTCTTATAACTGGCTCAGAAATTCTACCAGATTTATATTTGATATATCACCTCTATTACAGCTTATGTTCTACAGATATATACCTTTTTTTGGTCTATGGGCTGATTTTTGAAAAAATACTGGTATTTCAAATATAAAAACAGGAAGGTTGCCAGAAGCAATGAAAAATTCTCCTATTCAATGTTCACTTCTTCTTTAGCATTCGTGTCACATTTTCTCTTTATTTGCATTCAAAATACACAACAGGTTAAACAGAGAATTAAGGACACATTGCCAAATCTGGATTATATCTAATCACCTGAGGTAAAGCATGAAAATCAGGACCAGATGAAAAGCTTGAAAAAGGAGTGTGAAATTGGGAACCAGAGTGAGTGTGAGAGCAGAGAACACTAGTTATTATTACTAACTAGATCCTTCAGATTTCAAGATGGACCTAATCTCTCCCAGTTCCTTACTTCACTTTGGAGAATTAGATTTTGATAATATTGTTGAGCTTCTGGCAACCCTATTCCCCAAACATAATTTCTGTATGTCAGCCCAGTACTTCAGAAGAGACTGAATGTTCAACTAAGCCACCCAGGTACTTAGCAGTTAAGTAAAAATAAGAACTTACCTTTCGAAGGATATCTTCAGCTAATGTGAGGAACGCCTTTTCGATGTTTATATTTGCTTTTGCACTAGTCTCAAAAAATCTAATACCATGCTCCCTTGCAATCTAAAACAGAAGCAAGATATCACAAAATTATCAAGTATCTGCTGGCAACCCATACTTAGCACCTTACAGGAAATACTAATAAAGACAAGTCTCGACGAGATTATATAAAACAGACTGTTTCAATGGGTCAAGATTACAGGGCTCTTTAAAAAAAATAAAAAAGATAATCAAAAGAATCCTCTCACGACACCAATAGTTTATTTTCAGATATTTTACTATGTGGGTAAGCGTAAAAGAAGCCCAAAGTGACTTAAGCAGTCTCTAATAACTTCTGCTTATCACATGTTCCTGATTACCAAATTTGGAGGCATACTAATTGAAACATTTCTTTAAAATCCTAAGTTGAAAAATTGAGCATCACTGATTTCCATTTTCCCCTATGTGTAGTTTAAATAAGGCTAAAAATACCACTGCCACAGATCTGATTCTCCCATACCTACTGAATGCACACTGAAAAATTCACTCAAATGATAAGCTGTTGGTTCCAACAAGCAAACACACAAAAAGACGTGAACAGCTCAGCACATGCCATATCACCACTGTAAAAGCAATCAAAAGCACCACCATCTTCAGAAAGGAAGGGCAGCACATCAGTTTCATTCAGAGCTTCTCACCTGTTCTCCTTTGCCTTTCGGTACAACTCTTTTATCATCCATATCACACTTGTTTCCTAGTAACATTCTTTCCACATCTTCATTGGCATGCTAAAATGGAAAAAAATTGTACTTTTACACACTTCCATGGATTACATATGGTTTAATATTCTCTAAAAATAATTTTATCTCTAAAAACAATTCTCAGTTTAGGGTGTCATTTCTATAGTCTAAAAGTTTTAAAGCAGCCACCCTGAAATTACTTCATGCTAAAACTGTACACAAATGCTTACATTACCTAGGAAAAGAAGCACAATTAACTAAGACATATACCTATCAGTTATTATTTTTCCCCTACAGAGGCTGTCTAGTTTCTAGGTATGTTCTCACCAAAAGAGAGGACATAGGCAAAAGATCTGAAATTGGAATATACTTTATGTATAACCTATATCCAAACTGGGTCATGTTTTTAGATAATGTGAATTATCCTTGAAAAAGCTTAGTTAAAAATTTTAGAGACCTTAAAGTCTCAAATAGCAACACTGCATGGGCACAAGATGATTATCCCACATGGAAAAATCAGTTAAACACAAAATGGCTGCAGCTGAGCCACTCTGTTTCCTACAGCTGTGAAAGAGTAAATCTAGGAAAGTTACAAAATGTGTTCTTAATGGCCTTAAAAAATCAAGCTTTAGAAGGGGAAAAAAAAGGTGTGAGTTGGGAGGGTACCTCTTTATGTAGGGGGAGATACCCTTAATAGAATCACAAATTTAAAGAAGCAAAGAAGGAAACTTCCTACTTAGAAGTTCCATGCTCTTAGCTGAACTTAAAAAAACCAGCTGCCATCAACTTCAACTTATGGTGACCCCATGTGTGGCAGAGCAGAACTGTGTTCCACAGAATTTTCTTTTTTTTTACAACATATTTTGTTGTTGTTGTTGAGAATATACAATCCATAGGGCTTTCAATGCTTTATTTTTTGGAAGCAGATCACTGGGCCTTTCTTCTGAGGTGCCTCTGGGTGGATCTGAGCCTCCAACCATTCGATTAGCAGCTGAGTGCATTAAGCATTTGCACCAGCCAGCGCCCCTATCTGAATTTAGTGCCTCCTGATTTGTTTGTTACTGCTAAAACAAAGGCAACTTGGCAAATATCCAATAATAATCAGTAACACACCAGATGCTCCTAATATTCTGCGACGTGCTAAGAGTCAATAAGAGGCATTCTTAACCTGGAATCTAGGGATGGACTTCAGGGACCTTCAAGGATTCCCAGTAACCACGTACAAAACTTTGTGAGCTATGTGAAGAAGTGTATTTTTCTGGGAAGATTCTAAATTCTCAGAGGGGTCTATGATGAAAAAAAAGGTACAGAATCACTGCCAACAAAGGCTCCCAGCCCCCATCTGGACAAATTATCAGAGTCATCTAAAATAATCTACCAATACCTTGATCACTATCAGACAATGCATGCTGCCAGAGATACTAACAAGAGCCTCCACTAAGACAGAAAACAATTTATCTAAGTCCTATGCTTTAAGGGCCATTTATTCTTATAAGAAGGAGCACTGGTGGTGCAGTGGTTAAGAGCTCAGCTGCTAACCAAAAGGTTAGCAGTTTGAATCCACCAGCTGTTCCTTGGAAACCCTATGGGGCAGTTCTACTTCGTCCTATAGAGTTGCTATGAGTTGGAATGGACTCGATGGCATCTAACAACAACATTCTTCTCACAAAGCATACTTATAAGTGAAGGGGTAAGCAGGCCGGAGAAAAGAGGTCAATAAATAAGTGATTGATAAAGCAGAAAAAAAGGTAAAATTACCTTAGATGTAAATTTTTTTACAAGTGTTAGGGCATTTTGAGACCAGTAAAAAAATAATCATAAAGCTTTAGCAATACGAATACCAATTTACAACCCTGCAGCCTCATGCTCACATACATTATTCTGGGGCTATGGTGGGTGCAACAATGGGCTCAAACAGCAACAACTGTGAGCATGGCACATGAATGGGCAGTGTTTCGATCTATTGTACACAGGGTTGCTATGAATCAGAACTGATTCGACGGCACCTAACAACAACAACAGAGAGGGAATGCGTAAAATTCCTTATACATTTATGGAATTTTAGAGCAGAAATATGGCTCTCGCTCAAATATAGATTTAAAAGTAAGCCTGAAAAAGGCCTCAGAGCTCTGAACTCCTTCCTGAAATCCTGCAAACATGCTTGTAGGGCAGCACCACGTAACGCAGTGATGACCACACTGTGGTGAGTGCATTATGATGTCTCCTTCGGGCCCTGCACAAACAAAATTGACTAGACTGTCCCAGGTCTCCCAAGATACGCTTTTCCTTTACTCAGCCTTGGATTCCTGCTGGGTTTTAGGAGCCTTTTAGGGAGCCTCTTACCAAAAGGGGGCAGGGAAAGCCATGATGACAGCAAGTCCCAGTATCATAAAAACTTAGTATCCTTCAGGAAGGCTTTTTCTGTCTCAAATGTTCCTTTCTCTTTAGAATTAGTAAGTAACCTCACTTGAGGAGGAAACTTGGAATTGAATTTGGATTGACTCAAGGCAGATTATCACATATTTATTGTTAATTCTCATTAGCAAGTTAAGTTTCTGTCGCATTACTGTTGTAGGAGCCAGCACCTCTTGGTATGAACAATAATCTACAAGCAAAGCATTCAGCTTCATAAAATGTGTTATGACATTCTGAGGTCTTATCACAGTTCTTAGCTAGATGTCACGACTGTCAGAAATACTTTGCGATGTTGTATTTTAGAAGCACACCAAACAAAAACCAAACCTACTGCTGTCAAGTCAATTCCAACTCATGGTGACCCCATGTATTATACAGTACAACAGCTCCATAGACTTTCCTTGGCTGTAATTTTTTTCTTTATTGTACTTTAGATGAAGGTTTACAGAACATATAGTTTCCCATTAAACAGTTAGTACACATACTGTCAATTAGTACGCATTTATGACATTGGTTAAGAACACCACAACATGTCAACACTCTCCCTTCCTGACCTTGGGTTCCCTATTACCAGCTTTCCTGTCCCCTCCTGCCTTCTAGTCCTTGTCCTGGGCTGTTATGCCCCATTAGTCTTGTTTTGTATTAGGGGCCTGTCTAACCTTTGGCTGAAGGGTGAACCTCGAGAGTGATTTCATTACTGAGCTAAAAGGGTGTCCGGGGGTCATACTCTCAGGGTTTCTCCAGTATCTGTCAGGCCATTAAGTCTGGTCTTTTTTTGTGAGTTACAATTTTGTTCTAAATTTTTCTCCAGTTCTGTCCGGGACACTCTGTTGTGATCCCTGTCAGAGCAGTCAGTGGTGGTAGCCGGCCACCATCTAGTTGTACTTGACTCAGTCTGGTGGGGGCCGTGGTAGTTGTGGTCCATTAGTCCTCGGGACTCATCTTTCCTTTGTTATCTTTATTTTCTTCATTGTTCCTTGTTCTTGAAGGGGTAAGACCAGTGGAGTATCTTAGATGGCTGCTCACAGACTTTTAAGACTACAGACACTACTCACCAAGGTAGAATGTAGAACATTGTCTTTATAAACTATGTTATGCCAATTGAGCCAGATGTTCCCCGAGACCATGGTCCCCACAGCCCTCAGCCCAGCAATTTGGTGCCTCAGGGAGTTTGGATGTGTTTATGGAGCTTCCAAGACCGTTCCTTGTACAAGTTGTGCTGGTTCCCCAGTATTATGTACTGACTTTACCCTTCACCAAAGTTACCACTTATTGTCTATTTAGTGTTCCGTCCCACCCCGCCCCTCCCTTGTAACCATCAAAGATTGTTTCCTTTTGTGTGTAAACCTTTTCATGAGTTTTTACAGTAGTGGTCTCATACAGTAGTTGTCCTTTTGTGACTGACTTATTTCACTCAGCATTAATGCCCTCCAGATTCATCCATGTTATGAGATGCTTCGCAGATTCATCATTGTTCTTTATCATTGTGTAATACTCCACTGTGTGTATGTACCATAGTTCGTTTATCCATTCATCTGTTGATGGGCATCTAGGTTGTTTCCATCTTTTTGCTATTGTGAACAATGCTGCAATGAACATGGATGTGCATATGTCTAGTTGTGTGATGGCTCTTATCTCTCTAGAATATATTCCTAGGAGTGGGACTGCTGGATCGTATGGTATTTCTATTTCTAGCTTTCTAAGGAAGTGCCATATCGTTTTCCAAAATGGTTGTATCATTTTGCATTCCCACCAGCAGTGCGTAAGAGTTCCGATCTCCCAGCAGGCTCTCCAACATTTGTTATTTCCAGTTTTGTTTTTTTTTTGACTCATGCCAGTAATGCCGGGGTGAGATGGTATCTCACTGCAGTTTCGACGTGCATTTTCTCTAATGGCTAGTGATCGCGAGCATTTCCTCATGTGCCTGTTGGCTGCTTGAATGTCTTCTTTGGTGAAGTGTCTGTTCATTTCCTTTGACCATTTTTTAATTGGATTATTTGTCTTTTTTCTTGTAGAGGTGTTGGATTTTCTTGTAGATTTTAGAGATTAGACCTTTGTCTGATTTGTAATTGCCAAAATTTTTTCCCAGTCTGTAGGATCTCTTTTTACTCTTTTGGTGAAGTCTTCTGATGAGCCTAAGTGTTTAATTTTTAGAAGATCCCAGTTATCTAGCTTACCTTCTGGAGTTTGTGTGTTGTTGGTTATGGTTTGTATCCTGTTAATGCCGTGTATTAGGGCCTCTAGCGTTGATCCTATTTTTTCTTCTATGAACTTTATAGTTTTTGGCTTTATATTTAGGTCTTTGATCCATTTAGGATTAGTTTTTGTATATGGCATGAGGTATGGGTCCTGTTTCATTTTTTGCAGATGGGCATCTAGTTCTGCCAGCACCATTTGTTAAAAAGACTGTCTGTTTCCCATTTGATGGACTTTGGGCCCTTGTCAAAGATCAGGTAACTATAGGTGGATGGATTTGTATCTGGGCTCTCAATTCTGTTCCACTGGTCAATGTATCTGTCATTGTACCAGTACCAGGCTCTTCTGACTACTGTAGCTGTACAGGAGGTTCTGAGGTCAGGTAGTGTGAGTCCTCCTACTTTATTCTTCTTCAATAGTGCTTTACTTATCCAGGG